TCATCTCACCTCTAGGCTAGATATGCACAACTCCTTTAGCCTCTCCTCCTAGGACTTGGTCTCTAGGTCTCTCACTGCCTCTGGGCTCATCCATCCTTAAGTTTCTTCCACTCTTTCCAGGCACAGTTCACAACTCTGCGTTTGAGAACCACCACCCCTTTTTTTTTTGCTCCAGAGCTTTCCTCGCAAAAACCCGCTCTTTAAAGCTCAGTCGGAGCAAATGGCTATCCACAGAAAACCCAGACTGATGTTTGCTCCAACTAAGAGTGGGGTCTTTTTTTGCAGGGAAAGCTCCAGGGCAAAACAAGCAAACACACTCAGACATGGATAGGGCTGCCACAGGTCTGGGATTGAGGCAGCATTTTGGCATCTGAGCAGATTTTTGCGAAATCAGTAAAATGTCTGGGGAAACCCAGACGTATGGAAAGAGGGTGTGTGTGTAAATAATTTTAAAAGAATCATATTTTTTTTAAAGCCCCAAATGCTCAACAAATCTCAGCAAAAGAAAAAGAAGAAGCTCAAGAACTATGTCCGGATTTTCAACTTTGGAAATATGGCAACCCTAGACATGGAAATTTTAAGTGTGAATCTGTGCCTGGAAATAGCAGGACAAAATGTAAGTATGGATAAGTCCTCAGTCACCCTCTGCTGGACATGTTACAGTTTGTCAATATTCTCTTTAAACTGCAGTACCTGGAACTGTTCTGTACTCCAGGTTGCTGGTGCAAGGAGGGGAAAAGGTCTATAAAGGGAGAATTCCTGGATGCCAAGATTCAAGTTTGGGGCAAGTGCTCTTTCGTGAGAGAACCGCAGCAGAGATTTAAAATCACATATGCAGCAAAGTAAAGTGTGGGAATACAGGCTGTTAGACCTTTAAAAATATGCCCTGAATTCCTCCCAAAGTTCTGCCTTTCACGCAGCATAGGAAAAGACCACACATTCGGTAAGTTAAAAACGGTTTACTTACAAACTCTCCCAAGGTCAGGTTCATGTGCTTTCCCCACACGTCAGTCAGAAAAGTTGCAAAGGCAGAATAACAAAATGAAAATTCCTAAATTATTGGGATGGGAATTCAAGAGTGGCTTGTGAGAGCCACGCAGCTGAGCTGCAGCAACCAGCTTAGCCTCTTCACACGCTGAGCTTCTCAGGTAGACTGAAAGGGAACCTGGTCTCTGCCAAGGTGATGTAAGCCTAGCAGGACAGTTTATCCTATGGCAAACCCTTCATGCATTAATTAGTTTTAAGCATGTTGGTTATACGAGACTGGTTGCGTGTTCAGACCCAGAGACCTCCCCCCTAAATAAACACACATTTGACTCAAATTTTAGTTTTGGTTTTTGGCAGAAGTTAGGCCACAACTTTATTGATTACAGAAAGTGACTGGATGCATAGGCTCTGGTTCGACTAGCTCCCTGCCATGCAGGTAGCGCTGACCCAGGGTTCCAGCATAGGTCAGCCAAGGGTGAACACCTGGATAAGCGGAAAGCCGGGAACAGGCTATCTCTGCCACCCAAATGTCCCCCTGGACTCAGGCATGGGCACAACCCCCTCTCAGGGGTTGACCAAACCATCGAGTCCCTGGATTCCTTTAACGGAATACCCTTCACATAGGGATGGCGAGAGCGTTCTCCCAATCCTATCACCTGAACCAGAGCCTATCCGCAACCTTACAAGTTGTGACAATTTGCTACCCGGCAGACGAAACCCAAATGGCAACAGCCAATCAGCCAAGTGGGGAAAATTCCTGCCGTGCCCCTGTCCCAACGACAGACGACACACAACGGCATAGCAAGGTCAATCACAAAATGCCCTAAAAGTAGGGAAAGGTGGGCAGGTGTTCTGAATGCACATGCCGAAAGAGGAAGCTCTGGGTCACGTGCATGGGCATAAATAGGTCCCTCAAACCGTTTGGACTGCGTCCCATTGGCCAGATTGTACCCAGCTACGAGGGACCTACCAATCGGGCATTGTGGCTGCCCAATATATCCACCCACAACCAAGAGGTCAGCCTCCAGGTCTCACCGCAACACGTGCCCTCTTTTAGGGAGAACACGCTTCATCCCACAGAGGTGAGGTCTGACCAAAGCAGAATAGAGTGGGCATCATTCTGATGATGCCCCAGAAAATGACTTTTTTAGCCACCGCTTCCAGGGTTGCTCATTTCCTGATGAGATTTGGACTCTAAGGCTCTCTCTCAATGTGTGTAAAACCATAGATTCATCATTAAGGGGACAATTAAATTTCCCAACCCAATATTAAGCAGATAGCTTTGAATAAAATTCCCAGCTTCTGAACAGTGCCGATTCCGCTGCCTTCAACGGAAGCAATTAGCAGCTGATAATCTTTCGCTTCATGCCATGAAAATGGTCACCTGCTGATTTCAAGCCCCTTTCAAAGTTCCAGGATGAAGCTAGGCCAGGCTTTCTTCTGGCCAACTGGCAAACCTAGTTCTGAAGCTTAAAAACTGGGAATCAGATTATTAAAATACTTATAAATATTTTTTTCTTAATATTCTAGGGCTACCTAATTAACTGGCCCTTCAACCTTTTGAAATCTGCCTGCAAGGCCCAACAAAAACCTTATTTTGAGAAGAACGGCGTCCTAATTGGCAGTTTTACTATTCTGTTCATCTGGACTTGAGAAGAATTTTTTAAAAATTGAAAACCATACGCAACAAGACAACCTCCCCAACAACTTGAAACCTCTCTAATTAGTCCTCACAATGACAAGCGCACAAAACCAAGTGTCAGCCATGACAGGTGTAGCAAATAAGAAGGCTGATGTATGCATGCATGTGCAATTAAAACTGGGCCATGAAGATTAACGCAGAGTATTTTCAGAAATGATTACAGGCTCCCCAGCACAGCATCCTTGCCTTTCCCTCCAGTTTCCTCTCTGAGTTTGTAGACACATAATTGATCTGGGTATAACCTCTTCACTGGGCCTCTTCACTTGTTTTGTTTCAGGTGTGGCTCTGCAGTGTGTACGCATTTTGTCTTGTGACTGCGCGAGATAAAATCCACGAGGCAACGTCCCATAAACCTGTGCAGTTGCGACCGTTAGCTGGAGAGGAGCAAGTGGATTTGCGCATGAAGACCCCCAAAATCACCCCCAAATGAAAACACAATAGACACAGATTTTAGTTTCAGGTTTTTGGCATTAAATTTTGGCCACAACTTTATTGATTACAGCATGTGAGTGGTTGCTTAGGCATTGATTCCAGACTACCTGAAGCTGCATGGTGGCAGGAACAGGACTGACACTGGGCACCATCAGAAGTCAGTAAGGGAAAGCATCCTGGGGGAGCAAGAAGCTCAGTTCGATCTCACAGCTCACCCCAGATGCTCCCAGGGGCTCTGGTGTGGCCCTAGCCCCTGGACAGGGTTTGGACAAAAGGTGAGCCCCTGGATTCCTTTAATGGAATTCCCTAGCAGCAGCAATGGAGGGGCAGGCACAGCCAACCACGTCCCTTCCCTAAAACATTGAACCAAATGCCTAACCGCCAACCTTACAAAGTTGTGATGATTTGCTACACGGTAGGCAAAAACCAGGGACGCGGGTGGTGCTGTGGGTTAAACCACAGAGCCTAGGACTTGCCGGTCAAAAGGTCGGCGGTTCGAATCCCCGCGACGGGGTGAGCTCCTGTTGCTCGGTCCCAGCTCCTGCCCACCTAGCAGTTCGAAAGCACGTCAAAGTGCAAATAGATAAATAGGTACCGCTCCAGTGGGAAAGTAAACAGTGTTTCCGTGCACTGCTCTGGTTCGCCAGAAGCGGCTTAGTCATGCTGGCCACATGACCCGGAACCTGGACGCCGGCTCCCTCAGCCAATAAAGCGAGATGAGCGCCGCAACCCCAGAGTCAGCCACGACTGGACCTAATGGCCAGGGATCCCTTTACCTTACCTAGGCAAAAACCAAGTGGCAGCAGCCAATCAGCCAAATGGCAAAATTCCTACTGGGCCCCTGCTCCAAACCAGACGACCCCTAGACAGGCATAGCAAGGCCAAAGAACAGCCCTAAATATAAGGCGGGTGGGTGGGTGATTTGATGCACGTTACAAGAAAGTGAAACTATCCAGCGACATGCAACAGCTTAAGTTGCCCCTCAGCAGCCAAAAGCCAACCCAACTGACCAATTTTTTACCCCAGCAACAGAGGGGCAACCAATGGGTGCTGTGTCCATCCAAACGGTCCCTCCCCACAACAGGGAGGCGGTTTCTGGTGGTCTCGCCGCAACAGGTGCCTTCCATGATGGAAGGCCCCCACTTGCAAAAACAAAACAATTTCTCCCTATATCATTCCCTATACAGTGGTACCTCAGGTTAAGTACTTAATTCGTTCCGGAGGTCCGTACTTAACCTGAAACTGTTCTTAACCTGAAGCACCACTTTAGCTAATGGGGCCTCCCGCTGCTGCTGCGCCACTGCAGCACGATTTCTGTTCTCATCCTGAAGCAAAGTTCTTAACCTGAAGCACTATTTCTGGGTTAGCGGAGGCTGTAACCTGAAGCGTATGTAACCCGAGGTACCACTGTACTCATCACAAAAAAACACATTTCTGTCCTAAATAGACCCAGTCCGCTCTGTTTGTTCTACTGGAAAAATAAGAAATCAAGATAACAAACTTTTTATAAAAGAATGGAAATGGTTTATTGAATGTCTACGAACAAACTGTAAACAGATGAGAACATTGGCAGGATTATTGTAATAACCTGAAGCTTTATAAGAGTATATATTTAAAGCGGATGAATTAATGAATAAATTGAGTTAATTTGGATATGCAGAAAATATAAAAAATATATTGAAGGAAGCACAGAAATAGGGGGAAGGAAGTCAAGTTTTGAAATGTTAAAATGATTGCAAAATTGTTGAAATGTATAAAATCGAAAATCATTTTAAAAATCATAAAAAACCCACAGCCAGGGCATGGGGGAATGAAGGTAAACTGACTGTGGGTGGCCACCTTCAGAGGGAATTTATGAGCCTGGCAGTACCCCTGGGAGGACTCCATGGGCCCAATGGTGCCTGTGGGCATCTCACTGGAGGTTGGGCATTGGGCATTGCTGCTTACAAGGTAAAAAAGGTAAAGGGGGACGCGGGTGGTGCTGTGGTCTAAAACCACTGAACCTCTTGGGCTTGACGATCAGAAGGTCGGAGGTTCGAATCCCCACAATGGGGTGAGCTCCTGTTGCTCTGTCCCAGTTCCTGCCAACCTAGCACTTTGAAAGCACACCAGTACAAGTAGATAAATAGGTACCACTCCGGCGGAAAGGTATATGGCGTTTCCATGCGCTGCTCTGGTTTCCGTCACGGTGTCCTGTTGCCCCAAAAGTGGTTAAGTCATGCTGGCCACATGACCCAGAAAGCTGTCTGTGGAGAAACGCCGGCTCCCTTGGCTTGAAAGTGAGATGAGTGCCTGTTATGTACTGAGTTGAATAGGATTCAGAATGCAGCAGTCTGATTGGTCCTAGAACAATAGGATACAGAATGCAGCAGTCTGTCCACAGGAGCCACCCAATCCATCTCCAGGTGGAAGTGAATCCGCAACCTGATTGGCCTACAGGTGAATCCCGGAATTAGCCAATCACGTGGGGCCCATTGTGTAAATAATGTATATAAAGCAGACATTCTGGGGGAACTTCCATCCCTCCTCACCACTATGAGCTGAATAAAGAGCACAAAATCCACTCTCGACTGAGTATATTTCAGTGCCGCAACTCCATAGTTGCCTTGGACTGGACTTAACTCTCCAGGGGTCCTTTACCTTACAACGATGCTCCAGTAATAGTGTATCACTTAGCTAGCATCTCACAAGGCTTCTCTGCTGTGGCTTTCCCAGGCAGTCAAAGGAGCTGAGGAATGCTCGAAAGAACAGGAGTTAAAAGCGAGAGGGTGGGAGAGAAACCTTAAGGGTGGGGGGCAATAGGAGGGGCAGAAGGAAGGACTCCAGACTTCCCCCCACCCCTTCTTGCTTGTGATATTTCATGGGTTTTTTTCCATTTTTATTTCCAGGGCCATCCATTCTCCTGTCCTGTTGGCACCCTTCTGTTTTATTATCTGCACCAGAGAGTTTCTGCCGCGGAAATGGATGGCAGTCATTCACTTCTGCAACACAAAGCAAAATGCTCTTTCGACAGTCGGAGGCGAAATCCGTTCTACTGCAGGTTCTGACACCGGGTTTAGCAGTGTCAGGCAATGGGCTGGTTTTGTCTCAATCCCGGCGGCGCCCCCTCCCCCTTTCCTTTCTGCTATGTAGGGTTTAATTCCTTCTGTGCTATTTTGCAAGCAAGAGTTTTAACAAAGTGTTACAAAGAAGGTTTTGAGGTCAAATGTTCTGCGAATATTTGCAGAATATTCGGTGATATTGGCTTTTGACACCCCACAATATGTGATTACTCTTGCTGAGATTGGATTTCAATATTTGAAATTTAGCGGTATTTGACAGTTGATATTTGACAGCATTTGGCAATCGCTAAGCACTCATTTCCCCTAAATGCTTGCGTTGCATTCATTTTCTCAGTAATTCTTACGGCTGGGGAGTTGTACTCCAACCAGAGACACAGGCTGCCCCTCCCTGCTGTTCCGCAATGGCCCTTTAAGGAGGGCAAATAGAAAAAGAAATATATTCATGTTGCAGAAGGAGCTAAGAGTGGCTTGCCATGTCGTGAGTTTGTGGTTGGAGTGAGATTTAAATTAAGAACTTAATTCCCATCTAATTCCCATCTAGGGAAGCTGTAGCATATTCAGTTTTTCAAATTCCTGTAATGACTGTACTGATCCGTATCTTCCAGGCTGATATGTGGACCAGAACATCCACTGGGTTTCTCATTTATTTGAGTGCTACAATGCCCTCTGTGTCTCGGTAATTCTGAAGTCTTCTGGCTTGTTTTCTAGAAAATTCTGAAGTAACTAGAGAAGAATCTTTCCCTAGGTGAGTTATAAAGAGAGCAATACAGAATATAGCACATAGCCTGGCCTGATCCACAGGCAGAATTTACCAGTCAGATATTCTGTGGGAACAATTTGAAATCTAAGCTGAGTAAATGCATGTCTATAACACGGAGAAAACCAACCCACACATATAAGCCACCCTTTTATGGCTGGATTTAATTCTAATATACCAACTCAGGACACTGGGTTTTTGTATATATAAATTCCAAAATGGACATTTTGGAGACTTGAGCAAGAATTACATCACTGATCTTGTGGATCGAAATGTCCTGACTGAGGTGACATCACAGAGGAAACGGATAAACTTGGCGTCAAATGATTGCAACAATTTTGCCCAGCTTTCTCTGTTCGACAGGTCTAAAAAAGACAATTTTGCTAAATGCTCCTCTGAGGTTTTTTCCAGCACAGAACTGTAGATTTATGAATGCGTGCATGCATTTAGAGAAGGGTCCTTAAGGTACCTGCATTCCAAGCTGTGATTATATTACTAATTAAGTTAGAAACATACTGTGGTTTGCAATGCAATCCTAACCATGCAAAGTAAGGTCTGTTTAATTTAATGGCTGTATGGAATTTAATGGATTTAAACTGAGGATTGCAGCTTCAGTTTTTAGCTTCTTGTTCTGTGAATTGAGAAGCAAAAGTTCAGATCTTGGCTCAGCAATTACCTCTCTTAGTAGCCAATAACACCGGTCCTGAAAGACCTACATTGGCTCCCGGTACGTTTCTGGGCACAATTCAAAGTGTTGGTGCTGACTTTTAAAGCCCTAAATGGCCTCGGTCCAGTATACCTGAAGGAGCATCTCCATCCCCATCATTCTGCCTGGATACTGAGGTCCAGCTCCGAGGGCCTTCTGGTGGTTTCCTCACTGCAGGAAGCAAAATTACAGGGAACCAGGCAGAGGGCCTTCTCAGTGGCGGCTCCTGCCCTGTGGAAGACCCTCCCATCAGATGTCAAATAAATAAACAACTATCTGACTTTTAGAAGACATCTGAAGACAGCCCTGTTTAGGGAAGCTTTTAATATTTGATGAATTATTGTATTTTAATCTTTTGCTGGAAGCCACCCAGAGTGGCTGGGGAAACCCAACCAGATGGGCAGGGTATAATAATAATAAATTATTATTATTATTAAAATAAAATAAAATAATAATATTTTAAAAATCATCTCTAAGGCTTGGGGTTTTTAAAAACATGATACTAATTTTAGCCGTTCATGACAAATATGTCACATGGTAGTTTGGTATTGGACATGGAAGGTAGCCGTTTTGGAAGCAAACGTACAACAAGCTCAGTGTAAATTAGGGGTTGTTGTTGTTGTTAATTCACAGAGGCCAGGTTTGCAAATATATAATATTCATGTGTGAAAAAGGCCTCAGATTCTCATCTGAAATGAGACCATTAACTGTGTGCTCAGAAGCTGAATTAGCTAAAAACGGCCAAACATGCTGTTTGCCTTAGAAATGTTAAATAACATTAATTAAATGGCGGGGGGGATTTTTTTAAAAGATCAGACCTGGCCCCTGGTGGGGCAAATCCAGCAACAGTTTGCAAGGAGGTCACTCTCAGACCGCTTGGCAGCCCTGCAGAATATCAATGAAGCCCATTGCAGGCATCCGAGTGACTGTTTTTGGCAAGAGCTCCTGTTACCTCCCTTTGACCGCTGCTCCACAGCCTCCGGGGAAGAGGAGTCAACCATTCCCCAGCTGGCTCATCTTAATTCAATCAACCACAGAGTCCAGGCACCTGATGGCTGTTGGGAATATGATGTAAATGATTAACGTTCAAAGGGTTGCGTATGATTGTAGCAGTGAAAGGAAACTTAGGATTCATCGTTCCCGATGTAATGTCATTGGCGTAATAAAGTGATATTTCACTCATTTTAACAGGCCTGTTTAAGAAAAAGAGCTAGGTCTTCCTGTCCATCTTTAGCTTGCCATCCTGTCTCCTCCCCAAATAACCAGAGATCGCCCGGAGCCCTTAAAAAAGAGCCACAGTCGCTTAAGAGTTCTCTGCTTTTAATATCCTTCGGCATCTAGTTGAATGGGTGTTATTTATGTCAAAGTGCTAGTTAGTCTGAAATATTGGGAGAAGGAAAGCTAACAGCTGGATATGCTAATGAGTAAATAAACCATGTGTCTCTTTAATGATACCCACATGAATCTGTGCCACTGATGGGAATGGCCAGCAATAAACAGGACTGGGATGGAGGGACTGGAGAACAAGGGCAGCTAGATGTTACGATGCGGAGGATGGCAAGGGATGCGTTTGTCTCGTTGGTGGCAGGTGTTGCATTAGCAGTCCTAGCCGGGGGCAACCTGGCACGAAGGTGCTTCTGACTCCACGCAGGGCTTGGTGTACACTACTCAGCCCCATGATCAACAGGGCACCATTCTTGCCTTCATGGCTATACAGTCATACCTCAGGTTACAGCCGCTTCAGGTTGCGCTTTTTCGGGATGCAGACCGCCGAAACCCAGAAGTACCGGAAAGGGTTACTTCCAGGTTTTGGTGGTCGTGCATGCGCAGAAGCGCTAAATCGCACTTTGCACATGTGCAGGAGTGCTGAATCGCAACCCGTGCATGTGCAGATGCGGGTTGCAAACGTGCATCCCGCATGGATCATGTTTGCAACCCGAGCGTCCACTGTACTGGGCATTAACTAGATCAGACAAATCGGGTCCTCCCTTAAAGAGGGCACGTATTGTGTTGTGGGTGGGTACGATTGGTCAGCCACAACACCCGATTGGTAGGTCCTTCGTAGCTGGGTGCAATCTGGCCAATGGGACGCAGTCCAAATGGTTTGAGGGACCTATTTATGCCCATGGACGTGACCCAGAGCTTCCTCTTTTGGCCCGTGCATTCGGAACCCCCACCCATCTCTCCCTACTTTTAGGGCTTTGCCCTTGACCTTGCTATGCCGTCGTGTGTCGTCTGTCATTGGGACAGGGGCACGGCAGGAATTTTCCCCACTTGGCTGATTGGCTGTGGCTAAAAAAGTCGTTTTCTAGGGTATCATCAGAATGATACCCACTCTATTCTGCTTTGGTCAGACCTCACCTCTGTGGGATGAAGCGTGTCCTCCCTAAAAGAGGGCACGTGTTGCGGTGAGACCTGGAGACTGACCTCTTGGTTGTGGGTGGATATATTGGACAGCCACAATGCCCGATTGGTAGGTCCCTCGTTGCTGGGTTTAATCTGTCCAATGGGGTGCAGTCTAAATGGATCAAG